TAATCAAAATTATTGTAAAAATTATTATTAATTAAAGAGAATACTATGTAATAATAATATAATTAATAAATAAATTATATACAAATAAATAAATATTTTAAATAAATAAATATAATAAATAAATAAAATTAATAAAAAATTCTTTGTTTTACTGAAAAAAAAATTTGTTATAAAAAAATCCATTATATCAAGTGGCATTTTATATATGCAATTCACTCACTTTACTTCATACTATATTATACAGTAAATAAATAGTAACTTCATTATATCAAGAGTTTTTTTCATAGTTAAATCAGTATCACACTGAAAATCCGTTATATCATGTTATTCGTTATATCGAGGTTCATTGTAGAGAGAAGTGACTATATATGCTGCCCAAATTATTTTGGGATGCCATAATTATAATTTGAGATGCCATAATTCATTCAGTTTATATATAATTTACTATGTAAAGTGCCAAAATAATTTGGGATGCCATAATTGAATTTGGGATTTTACTTATAATTACAGCAGTCCAAAATAATTTGGGTGGCATGTATAGAGATGACTGTATATAAAAGTAACCAAAAATGAGACTGAAATATCTATAAAAGTATTGTTTAAAGAGAAATCACTATAGATTATTTTTACAAATTCAAATAAATGTAAGCTCATATATTAAGTTGTATTTATTAGTAAAATTTATATTCAGTTATTCTGTTTTGTTTGTTAATCCAAAATAAAAGTTATCTTTCACATTCATTAGTTGATATTTTATTACCAGTAAATTTCAGAATATTATAAAAAATACATCTAATTTTAAATGTAGTTTAATTTAAAAGTCATTAGAGGGCTTTTTGATTGGTAGTCTTTATTATTGTTTAATCAAAATTGGTAGTGGTAATGGTAAACTGTAGTCAAAGAAGATGAAGGTGAAGGTTTACATTCAAAAAGTTCTAGTAAACTAGTGAAAATCTTCCAAAGGTATTTCTTAAAAAAAGGTTTTTTATATTGTGAAGCTTTGTATATTTCTTGATAACGTCTTCCAAAATTTTGAAGAATATAGGCCTGTTGGAATAAAAGTAGTTGTTATGTAAAAAGTTGACAAAATCTTCATTAATAAGTTCATATCTTTAACTTTTTCTATATTATAAGACCAGTTATTTGCTTAAAGTTTCTATTGTTTCTTAATATTCTTCATGTTACTGCTTAATAAAAATCATCATCTTTCTATATTTTATTTTTTTATCCTTAATCTGATGCACTTTCAGTTTAATTATTTGTTGTCTGCTTACATACCTAGGATTAATACTCCTAAAAATTCAGATCAGATCAGGATTTTAGTAATCTAATCTGAATCTAATTTGAAAAATATTATTTTGTAATGGATTTTAATGATTTTTTTTTTGTTTTATAGATCATATTAAGCTAATCAATATAAAAAAAAGTTTGTTAAAATTGAACTGCTAAATCACAAAATGTCAAAATATTTACAAAAAATGGTTTTTTTTACAATTAATTTAGGTTGTATTATATTACCAATCTGATCAGGCCAAGAATACTACCTAGGATTTTTGCCCAGAATAAAAGTGAAAAATTTACTAATAAAAAGTAATAAGTGTATTAAACAAATGGGTTTTAATAAAAATATAAAGAAGCTTAACAGTTAAATAAAAATAATATATAAAAAAAAACAAAAAAACAAAAAAATATTCTTCAGAAAAAATGGTTATGAATATAACCAGAAAGAATTTGTTCAATATAAATAAATTAAGTAAATTAAGCCTAATTAAATCATTTATATTATTATTATTATTTTAATTATTGCTATTATTAGCAAAAATTGGTAATAATTTATAATATACATATTTTTATAAATTTCTATATTGTATATTTACACATATTAACTAATATTAAATAATGAATTTTTTATTTTTAAATTATTTAGTTAATATATATATAATAACAAAAATAAAAAATTTTATTTAGATCATTATTACTAAATAATATAAGACTGGATATCAAATAAGTTGCAAGTTACTCATCTCCAACTTCTCCAACTCTTTCAACCCCTTCAACTTCTTATTCAACTTCTTCAACTTCTTTTCAACCTTCTCCTTCTTCAATCTCTTCAATTTTTTCAACTTCTTCTTCAATGTCTTCAATCCCTTCAATGTCTTCAACTCCTTCAATGTCTTCAACTCCTCCTTCAATGTCTTCAACTCCTCCTTCAATGTCTTCAACTCCTCCTTCAATGTCTTCAACTTCTTCATCTCCTTCCTCTTCCCCTTTATCATCATCATCATCCCAGTAAATAAAAGACATTTCCGTTTTTGGAAAAGCTGCATGAGAATTAACATATTTAACGAACCTTAAAGTACCAGCATCTCTAATTACAATACTTAACATATTTTTCTCTGGATAAATAGCCAATAATTCATGCTCATCAGCAACATAATGAGTTCCACCTCCCCATTTTTCATCCCATTCACCTTCAATACAAAATAATGTGACATCTGCTCCAATTCTATCTTGACCTTGATCATGAATTAAAGTATAGTTACCAGGTTGAAATTGTCGAAATTCTCGAGCTACAGCTGTAATTTGCCAATTTGAAATTTCATTGATAAAAATTGCAAATGATTTTGATTTAAAGAAATCATAAACATATTTACAAAAAGATGATGATGATGAATCCTTATAATCTTTAATATTATTATTATTATTATTATTATCCTTAAAATTATCAATTTCTGAATCTTTAAGAAGATGATATTTTCTTATAAAAGGAGGTCCTGTAGGTTTTTCTTCCCATCCAGTTTCTCTTATACTCGTTATTAATTTATCAAAAACATCATCTCGTAAAAATTTCGATAATAAAATATAAGAATCCTTTTGTAATTTTTTTAATATTCTTTGTTTATTTTTTTCATTTAAATAAACAGGACTTATAAAGTCTTTAAGATCAAATACTTCTGGGACGGGAGCTATGAATTCTGCACGTGATAATCTAGTATTTAAAGGACCATGAAACCATCCAGAAATTGAATAACGAATTTTTGTTGAAGAAATAACTTCAGATACTTGATGATATGATGTAGGACTGAGTGCAAAAAAAGCAATCGTATTCCATTTTGGAGTAATTGAAAGTGATATTTCATCCGGATGACTTTGAGAATTTCTAAAAAAAATAATAAAATTTGCTAAATTAATAAATATGTAAATTATATATTAAAACAAACAAAATTTTGTTATACATGTTAAATAATTCCAAAGCGCCACCATCATCTTTTGACCAATCTTCATCTACCAAATAAATTATAAAAGCAATTATCCTTCCGTGCATGAAAGCATCATCTTTAATATCATCGTCGTGACACAAAAGATAATTTCCTTTTTCATATTTATGAACGGACAAATCAGGAGTATAATCTAAATCAAATCCCACTAAATTAGACATAGTACTGACGAAAACGTCAGAATAAATGGTATCACGTAATTTAGAAAGATGAGGCTTTTCACAAATCTTTAAATCAGAACTTTGATGAAATTCATAGAGATCATTAGATTTATTATCAAAATCTAATTCTTTGACTTCATCTTTAACATTAGAAAGAAATTCATTATCAAATATATTTGGTAAAAGTGCTATAGGAAATGGTAAATTATAAATTATAGCTTGTGAAATTTCATCGGTAAAAGTTTGGTTTTTTTTAAAAGCAGAATAAAATCTTGTAACAAAATCTGGATCTATATAATTTTTATTTAAAATATCAGGTATTATTTCTTTTATTTCTTGTTCAACATTTTCATCAGGAATTTTCGATTCTTCTAACTTTGAAGAGATTGTATTAGACGGTAATGAATCATTATTATTATCTACAAGAGTTGTATCAAGTTTTTGTTTCTTGTTTGGTAAAAGGGTAGAATCGTTTTCTTCTAATAAATCCTGTGAAGTATGTTTTTTTGAAGTTGACATGGTAGATTATAGATTAATAGATGAACAAAAAAAANAATTTCGCGGGAACCGTAATTTTTTAGGTTCGCTATATAACCAAAGTAGGTTTAACCTGGTCGTTACACAAAATACGCCAATACGAAAAAAAAAAAAAAAAAAAAAAAAAAAAAAAATTTTGATTATCAGTAATTTTTCACGTGACATTAATATAATTCAGATATTTGCCACATTTTTTGTTTAACAATTAACAGTAATTGTGTAATTTCAAAAAACACGTTTCTTTTTAAAAGAAATATTTACCTTTTTTAATTATTTCATTACATGATTTAAACCAAGTATTCAATTTATGATCCGCGGGAGGTTTTGCCCAAAATCGCCCAATATTTAATATGGGCGGAATTTTGTGGACAAACTTTTGAAAACCGTCAGGCAAAGTATTACCAGTACTGGAAAGGCACTTTCAAATTAATAATTAAAAATCGGAAAAATTCGGGATGTCCCTTGTTTACGTAAAAACTAAACGCGAGATCATTATCAAATCTATCAAAAAATGAAAAATTTCTCAAGCTAGGAAAAAAAAAAAAAAAGGTAATTATGAAGAAATAATTTCATAAAAAGAAAGAGTATAATATCAGATATAAAGGACATTGCATATCAACCAACCGAACTTGCAACATAGAAGATTTTCATTCAACATCCTAAATTGGATTCCGAATAAGTTGGACATAAAATAATATATTGTTGGTATATATAATTCTATTTTTATTTATGAACGGGATTATTTAAATCTTGTTTACCATATTTGTAAACTATTAAAATTTGATTATTTGGATTACAATCAAACGTATCTATAATATCATTGATTTGTATCTAGAAGAGAAAGAAACTTTTTTCTTTTTTCCTGTGTTTTCCGAAAGTTTATTTTTCAATATATTAATTACCATTTTGAAACTTGAGGGATAATTTGTTTATCCGTCTATCAATGATAAAATTGGAATAATTAAAAAACGATTATTACTGATAACGGACCTCCAAAATATTGACAATAAAAATAAGTAGGTAAATATTTATTGAAATAGCCTAAATACAATAAACTATAAAAATAAATAAATAACTTTATTAATATATTTCCGAAATCGGTTTATCGGTACCTATTATCCGAAAAATCCCGGCACTAAAAAAAAAAAAAAGTCATTATCTTGTATATCAAAATTAATAGTATTCGTTTTTTTCAAAACTCTCACAATGATCTCTTACCAGAGTATGAAAGTTCTGTCGTGTGACATCATTGCACTTACAAATAAAAACAAACAATTAATGTGAAATACATCATTATGGTTTATTTTAATGTTGATATTTTTTTTAAGGAGAAAGCACGTTATCTCCGCATTTTATTAGCGCAGATCTTTCTTTCTGATTTCTTTGTATAATCATTAAATCACTTTTTAATTGGAAATATGATAATATTGTTATGGTAATAATATTATTAAGTATCAACTAACGTGTAACTTATAATTACATATTGCTGTACAAATTCTATTGACTGTAGTGTTCTTTTTATAAAGAAATGATATGTATAATATGTATGATAATTAACGTATGATAATTTAACGTATGATAATTAATATTATGTAAAATTTTACAAATTTTTTTTATCTATTTATTTTCGGCTATAACACGTAACATAGCCATAACAAGTATAGCCATTAAAGGTCCAACAGCAGCATATGTGTAAAATAATAAAGTAGCCATTTCCCCTTGGAAATTTCCTGTTATTTGTGCCAAATTCATACAATTAACAGCAGGAGGTCCACTCGACATTGACATTAATATAAACCAAAACATTGGATCAACTAAGAAATAATCTTTTGTGTATACTACTATGATAGTTCCAATTATAGGCATTATAACAAAGCGACTCAACGTTACATATAATATTTGAGGAACCAATTCTTTTCCATTTTCACTTGGAAGTGTCTTTACTTGAGCTCCAAGTGTTAACAAGGTTAATGGTACCGATATTGTTCCTAATTGTTCCGCAGTACGCGTAAGAAAATACAACGGAGCATCCACTCCGAAGAAAGTTCCTTTTAAAAATGGAATTGTTCCGATTATTAATGCGAAAAGTGCCGCGTATAATGGAGGATTCATGATTTCCCCAATTGGTTTGAGTATTCTCCTTAAAAAGTTCATAATCCGAACTCCTATATTGACACCCTTTTTTTCAATAGATTTAATAGATTTGAAAATCAAGGGGGTGCGTTCGGATACCAATGAGTGAGTTTGTCTTTGTTGTTCATTATCATCGTTGAAAACTGGTAATTGTTGACGTTCTGTTATAACAATTTCATCCTGACTACTTTCTTTCTTTAATAAGTATGTTCCTACGCTCCATCTATGTATGTAAATAAAATAAAAATATATCAATAAAGAGAAAGAGAGAGAAAGAGAGGGAGAAAGATTTATTAAAACACGAACCTAGACAAATTACCAAAGAGGGTGGCCAATAATATATAGGACATTCCACGTTTTACAGCTTCTTTTGGACTATCAAGTTTATCACGAAGTAAAATATTAATAGCATCTGTACTTTCAATACCTTCCAATAGACCTAATGTAAGACTTGTTACATTATTGAACATTATACCAGTCATCATAAATTTTGTTGATGAGACATCAAGTTTTAATAATTTTCCGCCGATTAATCCAAGAGCTCCACTCAATATAAAAAATAAAATGTATAAAGTAGGCATTGGCCATAATCGTATTAAAGTATCCAAGTCAATATCTGCTGCAATATTTGAAAGTAATAGACATGGCATGAAAATCTTTATTATCAATTGAGAAAGACTCTATATAAATTTAAAACAAATAAGATAGAAATTAGTAAAAGATTTTAAATTCAAAAAAAAAAAAAAAAAAAATTCTTTTATACCTTCTGTATCGAATTATTTATTACTCCAAGTGATGCTGCTACATATCCGGTAAGACACAGTAGAACAACTTGTGAAGTTGACTTTTAACAATAAAGAAAAAAAAAATAAATCATTTTAATCGTGAATTTATTTTAGATGATTTGAGAATATATATATAAAAAAAAAAAAAAATTATACCTGAATAGAAGAAAGAAAAAGTGAATAAATATTCATATCAGCCATTATGTGCGGAATTTTTTTTGTCGTGTAGAAAAAATATAGATAAAAAATAGGCAAATACTTTGCTGGGTATTTATAATTTTTTGATATAGTGATAAGTTAAAGACGTAATAGTTTATAAATATATACGTAATTTAATTAATATACTTGTGTATTCTTAATATAATAATTACATGCAACTAATTTAGTCAATGAAAAATTATTGTTCTATATGACTTTTCCCAACCGGAGAATTGAAGATTCACACGTGCGATATACAGCCAATACGTTTGACATTTGATATACATTTGTAACATTTTCATTCATCCGGCCGAACAATTGAACAAAATACCATGTGGCGTCGTTTTTTTTAAAGTTAAATGCATTTTTTATAAGCTGAATTACGACTGCGGATAAGAGTAAAGTTATGTACTACATACATTATTTATGATCACGTGATAATCTTGCGTTATTAATTTTAATTATGACAATTTTCCTTTTATTTCTATAGGACAAAATTTCATCTCAGCCACTAGAACGTTGATGAATATTTGTTTCGATTATCTTGAAAATTTTTTTTTTTTTAAAACTGTTGCTATTATAATCGCAAACTACAATATTAGTATTGTATTGCCAAGAAATTCTTTCAGAGTCTAAGATGAGACATGCATTTACATACTCAAAACAATTACAAGTAAAACAAACAATAATTTTTTTTTTTTTCGATCTTTTGAGAAAAGAATTTTTTTTTTTTGCAGATAAATTTAAAAACATTGAAATTAAATGACAGAATTATTCACGAAAAGCACGCAACAAATCATTTTGGCCCAATTGAATCTAATAATTTAAACTTTCAATCATTGCAAGATGAATCATTGGTCGCAAGTATATCTCATATATCCATATGCTTTAAACTGAAAAACCATAATTGCTAATATATTTTAGTATTAGTCTCATTCCTATAATGTTAGGTAAAGCCAGTGCCGGGATATTGCGAATTTTGTACTCGTTGTACAACTATTCATCTCGTACAACATTAAGTATATTATCATTATATCTTCAATATTTAAGGCTTTTTTTTATAAGTACTTTTTTGGAAAAAAAAAGCTTATGTAGATAAAGATCATCAAAGCGATCTTTGCGGAAAAAAAATTGACTAGAAAGTTGAACCCCGCGTAAAAAGAATCTTTTTTTTTTTAAAAAAAAAAAGAAGAAAAGAATTTCCTCTTTATCCCCAAAGGCTGGCTGACTTCCTATTCTCAGTTTCCTACAACTTCTATATTGTTGTTCCTTTATCGAAAATAATTTTCATTATTCTATTCTAAATTTGTTCTATAAGCCCATTATTATAAAGTCCATTAAATGATACCTTTTGTTGTTTTAGCGCTTGCTAAACCTGATCAATTTATATTTAACTGGGATACAGATTCAAAGAATTCATTTTCACATGAATCATCATTATTAAATTTTTTCCATGTTCTATATTTTTTTTCCAATTATAAAATTTCATTGTAATTCATAACGCCAAAAATTTTAATGTTATAAATGACGCATATTTCATTTAAAGAATTACCATTTCAAGATTCCTTATTGAAAAAAATTTTAATAACTTTTATGGTTTAGATTACTATCTATTTTTATTGTTCACGTGATCTTTAATGTAACTTTAATTTGATATTCGGGCTATTTATCGCCGTTAAAATGGCGTTCGAGTACCTGTTAAGACTTAAGAGTCTTATCGTTCTTTCTTATCGTTCTTATCAAAAGCCGTTATTATTAAAAGGGGGTTTCTTTAATTCATTGATGTTGTAATAATGCATTCATTAATAAAATACTGCATATCTGATATGTTACCAGATGAATTTGAAGCTCGACAGAGTAGAACAGTCATACCTCCTATTTTTCGCATTTTTGGCCATCCGCGGTAGATCAGTTTAATCTTTATTAGTTTATAAAGCTATTTAAAATTAAGTTTGAAATCATAAACTAAGCTTTAAAAATTATGAAATTAGAAGCTAAACTTTAATAATTATCTAATAAGCTAAAGCTATTGAAAAATGATGATTATACTAAATATGTAATTTCATAAAGAAATTATGAAACTACTTGAAATAACCTAAAGGATGAGATGTTTTAATTAGATTTAAAATTTTAAAAAACATCTTGGACTATCATTTTTTAATATACAAAATTTATATTCTACTAATATTAGTATAATTATATGATTTTTTAATTTATATTCTATACTTATAGAATTCAATATTAGTAATTATATGATTTATTTATTACCTTAGTAATTTAAATTAGTTAATTTATTAAGTATTATAGCTATATACTTTATATATATATATAATTTTTTAGCAATTTGTAATAAATTTTACTACTGTATTATATTTAAATTTTTTTTTTTTAACTATTTATAAATGCTAAACAATTTAATTAGTATAATAGGATTTCAGACATCTCTAAAAATAAGTCACAAGTCACACTTTTAGGTTTAATAATCCATTTTTAACAATTTTTTTTTAAATATTTTTGCACCTAATAGTTTAATTTTAATGGATATTTTTTTTATTTTGTAGTTCTTATTGGACTCTATAATTTAAAAAAAAAGTTCATCAAAATGAATTTTTGAATTTAGTAAAAAATGATAATTTTAGCTAATAATAATACATATATTAGATAAGGATTTCATATAAAGGTTTTTAGAAAAAATTTCCAATTTACTAGTAGTAATTTTACTAGTAATCCTATTGGTTAATTGATCTAAAAAAAAAAAAATTATAATAATTTAGTATAACATTTTCTTTTTTTAAATATAATTTATCTATATAATAGAATCTTTAAAAATTCTTAATTATAAATTTTAATCCTAAATTTTTGGTAATCTATTTTATCAGGTCTTATATTTATAAAAATTCATAGACTATTTATTTTTAATTTTTTTTTCAATTTGTTTTATACTATTTAACTTAATTATTACTTTATATTATAAATTTTTTACATTAAATTTAAGATTTTTAATTAATTCTAAATTTTTCAGATATTATTCTTAATATTTATTTATTTATATTTAATAGAATATTCCAAATATTTAATCTCATAATTATTCTGATTATCTTAATATTGATTATAAATAATTTTCATTTTAATAAATTTCATTTGTTATTATCTGCAATTTTCCTTTTGCTGATTTTTTCTGTTTATATTTCTAAGTTATACATTACTTAGATTACTTTAATACTTTTAATAGTAATTAATACTATAAAATTAGTCCACTTACATCTGAAAATTTCTATAGTGGTCGTCACCTATAAATAACAATATTAATAATAGTCTAAAATTTAAAATTTTATTTATTTATATTGTGTAACTTATTTTTAAAGTACTTTGCTAAAATATAATAATTGTCACGTGAGTAGCAAAAATTTTTTTTGCTATATTACATGGAATTCTTGTGGATTTTCATGGAATTTTTGTAAAATCCATAAAAATTACATAAAAACTAGTCTAAAATTTTATGTTTTTATTATGGCTACTTATTAAAATTATCTAACTTTAACCCATAATTATACATGCTGCCCAAATTATTTTGGGATGTCATAATTATAATTTGGGATGCCATAATTCATTCAGTTTATATATAATTTACTATGTAAAATGCCAAAATAATTTGAGATGCCATAATTGAATTTGAGATTTTACTTATAATTATGGCAGTCCAAAATAATTTGGGTGGCATGTATACCCATAATATTAATTAAAATTCTTATTAAATTCTATAAAATAACCTAATAGAAATGTTTAGTACATGTTATTCTATCATTTTATCAGTTTAGTTTTTTCTTTTTACTATTCAATTTACAATTTATAAAAATTTGAAGTCATATAATATTAGTGTGGTTTATAGATGACGGCCACCATATATATAAAATTTTTTTGCAATAATAGTTTTTTACATGAAAGATTATTTTGAAAAATAAAGATATTATAATATTAGAGTTTCTTAATAAATATTTATTTGTCATCTTTTTTTTTATCTTTCAAAGTTGTTTACTATTCAGATTTAATAACGTTAGTTTGTATATGTATAGAAGTTTTAAGCCTTATATTTATATTATTAAGTATTCCTAAGGTTGTTAAACTATCATTAAATTTAATAAAACAGTTAAAGTATTATTTTTAAATGGTTAAGTAAATTCTATCCCCTTTCATTTAACTATTTTTTAATTTTATAATATGAAAATAATATTTTTTATAAATAAAAAAATAAAAAACATAAAAATTTCTTTAAATTACTAATGTAAAAATTGTGTTTAAATAATCAATAAAAAAAGTTTTTGATGTAATTTATTTATATACAGCCAACTCTCTTTATAGTCACATATTTAGAACAGTTTATATTTGGTGATTATAAAGAAACGTGACTATATAAAAAATTTTTTATATTTGTATATCATAATTCCAGCTAAAAATTAACATAATTTTAGTCAGAATTATATTTAAAACTTTATTGTATCATAACTCTGCCAATATTAATCATAGAGAGATAATCTTACTGCCATTCAATTTGTCTTAATAGGACAATTCTAATAGTATAAAATACATCGAAATCTAATCACTAGATTAATTTTTAAAATTAAAAAATATTAATGGTTTTTATGTAATAACTCTGCCAATATTAATCCTAGAAAGACAATCTTACTACCATTTGATTCATCTTGATAAGACGAATCTAATGGTATAAGATATATCGAAATCCAATCACTAGATCAATTTTCAAAATTAAAAAATATTAAATGGTTTTTAAGTAGTAACTCTGTCAATATTGATCATAGAGAAATGAGTTTACCACCATTCGATTTGTCTTGATGAGGCAATTTCAATGAGCTATTAATCATTATTTTATAATTACTAAGTACTGAGAAATTTAGCAAAATGTTAAATGACGCAGTAAACGTAAATCAAGAAATATTATAATGCTGATATTTAGCATTTTGTTGAATAACTTATCAGCCAGTAATTGTGAAAGGATAAAACTAT